AGGAATGGGTGTTGGAGAGTGAGAGAGAGAGAGAGAGAGAGAGAGAGAGAGAGAATATTCTTGACGAAACGAACCGAGAATGAAGAAATTCTACTAATTGCAAATGACAACAACGAAGAATTTCATTCCGTTAGTGAAATAATGTATTTTCATTTATCTTGTTTTCGTTTTGGGAAAAAATTCGGAAATGAAAAAAAACCTTCTTAATTTTCGTCTTTTTTTCATTGATGATGATAATTACCGGCCATGTCTCGTTTTTGTTGTTGTTTTTTTTTGTTGAAAAAATCCAATCAAAATGTCGTACAAATTAGAAATGAACAGTTCTTGTTTCGAGGTGCCTTCAGGGTTAACAAATTTTAGTTTTTTTTCAATTGAATTTCATTTTTTTAATAATTTTCATTTTTCATTTTTTCCAAATAAAAAAAATTCACAGATGTATCACAAGCTTGTAACCGTGAGACTTCAGTTTGATCTGAAAGCCAACGTAATTCCCAGTATAATCAAGTCAAGACCTAAATGGATAATGTCAACCGATACAACAACAAAAAAATAACCGGATTCTTTGTCCGAAAAAATATTTCCGGACAACAAAACAAACAAGCAATCAATATCAGAAAAAACAGAGAGAAAAGAGGAGATTCTTTCATTCATTTTGTTTTGTCTTGGCCGATCATTTCATATGTGAATGGAATTGGAAATTTTTTTGTTGTTTGTTTGAAAATCTTCCTTTTTTTGGCTTGTTCCTAATTATAATTTATTGATCTACTAAGCAATAACGATGATCAAACAGAAAAAAAGTTCCCGGTAAGTTTCTGTTGGAAATTTTCCTGAAATTTTTTATTCCGAAAATATTTTTTTTTGTCATCTTTTTTATACAGAATCATCATCATCATCATCAACAAATTGTGCCTTTTTCATCTTCATATCATTCACGCGATCTCTCTCTCTCTCTCTCTCTCTCCAACACCCATTCCTTTCATCATTTAGATCAGAAAGTTTCCAGAAACATCACACACACAAAAATTCTGTAATAATTCTTATCATTGTTGTTGTTGTTGTTGTTATTGAAATTTATCATTATTTTTTTTTTCAATTGAAATTTAACACTCTCCTTTTCTCTGTCTATGTGTGTGTTTCATTCTTTGTTTCAATTTCCAAAAAAACAATTTCGCCTTTTTTGTTATGCACATCGCTCATCATTTTTGCAATTTTTCAGCACGCTTAGCTTGAATATTGCGCAAATCAAATCAGATAAATTAACTTATTCACACGTCACTGGTCATCTTTATTCATCATCACCACTGGGGGGTTAAATTATTCTTAACCCTACACCACCACCAAACAATATGTGGATGCTTAGATAAATGTTTCCTTCTCCTGGATAAATGTTCTCCGCTATCAACTGCGGACTTATATCATATATTTTTCTACTACTTTCTCTCAACCAAATTCATTCAGAAAATGCAATAATAATTTATTTAAAGCAAACAAACAAAGCAAAACGAACATTGTGAAAGCAATACATCAAACACACACACACACATCTATCAAACTTCTCTCACATTGAGCACTGGTCAATTTTCTATCAAATGACAAGTTATGTCATTCTCACCTTTCATCATAATCATCATCATCATCATCATCATCTCTTTCTATCTTTGATCTATCTAATCAAAAAAACATAAAAGTTGTGTGAACCTCACCTGAAAAAAAACACCCAAATCACTACAAAATATATATTATAGAAATGATGTTTATATTTTTCTGTGTTTGTTCTCAAACAAAACAAAAAATCGCCTCAAATTTAATTTGCATAAATGTTTTTTTTCATTCATTCATTTTTTCTTTTGGTTTTCTTTCTTATTTTGATTTTTCTGTGTGTGTTTTGCCTGTGTGTGATGGACTGAAAAAAAAGTAAAATAAAAATAAAGTAATTTTTTTAAAAAAATTGATTTTGTAATTTTGTTTGGTTATTTTGGGAAGTTTTCGGATGTTTTTGGGAAGTTTTTTTTTGGAAATCCAATCATGTCATCCAATGAATGACTGTTTGGGTGTAAATAGCGTTCGGCCATCATCATCATCATCATTGTAATCTGATCTTCACACATGCAATTTGGCTTTGATGAATTAATGGAAAAAAACAACAACAACAACAGCAGAAAAGAAAATTCATCAAATCTCAAATGACAAAACCGAAAACAAAGCAAAAAACCGGATCCAAACAACATGTTATCAGCAAATCAGATAATCTAATCTCGTGATGAAAAAACAAACAAACAGCTTTCTTTTTTTTTTTCCCAATGATGTTATTGATTGATTGATTGATTGATAATAACACGGTGTTAGTCAAAAGGGAAGAAAAAAGAAAAAAATTAGATGTAATAAATGAAAATAAAGTGAAAGGAAAATATGAATTCGTTGTTGTTGTTGTTTTTTTCCCCAACTTTTCTTCTTCCCTCCACCATCAAAAATGTAATTATCATTATCGGTTGTTTGGTAATAACGATTCCCTCTCTCACGAAAAGAATAAAATAGTTTTCTTTCCTTCTCTCATCTCCCACAATAGAATATTCTATTCGGTTGTTTCATTCATGAGAAAAGACAAACAAAATTCACAATATTTATTTATTGGCCATTTCGTTTACATCATCATCATCATCGAATAATTTGATTTCGATTTCATTTCAGTTTCTATCCAAATGATGGGCAATAAATTTTTTTGTTTTGCTTGTTTTTGCTTGTCTTGTTATCTCTTTCCAGCATCTCGGTAGCCATTTTGGTTATTTTTCTTCAATCATCTTGATCATCATTTTGAAATCTTGTTTTCTGTTTGTTTACAGGTTCTGGTTTCTATCATTATCATAAACAATGGATAATTCAGTAAAATTCTTTATTCTTGAATTTCTTTATTCCTGAAGTTATTCTGGTTATTCTGGTTCGGGTATCCATTGTATTTTTTTGACGTTTTTTCTTCTCCAATATTTTTCATTATCTCCCAAACCAAAGAATATCACAATGTAAGTCACGATGTGGAAAAAAATGAAAAAATGAAAATCTTGTCATTTTTTTATGATTAAAAAAAACAACTGAAGAAGAATATTCTGGTAAACAACAACAATGGATAAAAAAAAACTTACTTACTTACTTAACACTTAACACCCACGCACCAAAACAAAAGCAAAATAACAACAAAAAAAACGACCAAGTAATAAAAATAAAATGTTGGTGGTGTTTAGTTAACACAAGAATCCAATCAATCTTTGTCATTATTATTATTATACCCTATATATTCATTGGATTCTTCTTTATCTCGACCATCTTCTTGATCATAATCATAATCAAGTATTATTTACAATCAAAGATGATGATGATAAATATTTTAGCGAAACAATATGAAAATGGATATTATGATTATGATGATATTTTGAATAACCAAGAAAAGAATATTCTTTGTAGTTATTCTGATCAGTTTTCATTTTTTGTTTATTTGTGAAAAGTTTTTTTGTTTCTTTAGTTTCTTGAATCTTTGATGAGATTTTTCTCAAACAATCTTTTTATGATTGTTTTCGAGTAGTGAAGTGTTTTTCTTGGGAAATATTCTTGGCAATTTCATTTTCGCCATAATCAATGATGAATAAAGGCAGAGATATGAATGAATGAATGACTTATATTGGCCAATCTCTTTTTTTATTCATCTTTTTCATTTTTTTTTTCATATTTCGATTAACTTGATTTGATTTAGTTTTTCAATTTAGGAATTTCAATGGACATCATCACAAAATGATTACATTAAGAATCTTTGATCCATGACCGATTTTTCCTTTATGGGTGTTTTTATTTTTTGCTTGGTGATAAAAAACAGAACCCATATAATATCTGAACGGGAAACTTTCCGAAAAATTTTATTTTTTCATTTCGGTTTTAATTTGATTGATTTTGATTGATCATTTTATTATCTATTTTTTTCCAATTTTATTGATTGATTTTCTTTTCTTCGTTTTTTCTTTCAAATTCCGACAAAAACAATTTTTCAAAATTTTCAACAAAAAAATGGGATTTTTCAAACATTTTTTTTTGAAGTACCTGCTGCCATCTAGTGATCTGGAATGAAAACTGCAAATTTAAAAATTTTGTAATTTTTTTGTAATTACAAATTCTCATTGAATTAATTTGAATTTAATTACAAAATTTGAATAGAATTTTTTTGGAATTCTTTCTGGGTTCTTAAATTTCAAAAATTCAAACAATTTTATTTCGGTTGTCGTGCAGTTTTGTTTTTTGTTTTTGTTTTGAAAATCTTTTTACCGGTTTTTTGTTTTGTTTTACACGAAATTTCATTTCATTTTTAAAAAATCAACTTCGTCCTAACCAATTGAATGTTATGTCATCATTAAAATGCACTAAATTGTTGATAATATTGTTGGTTTTCTCGATCAAACTGAATGCTGTATGGACACAGCCATCAAGTGATAATCAAACCCTAAATAACAGTGGCAGCAGCAGCAGTAGTTTTCCAATAGCACTTGATTACACCACCAATCTGACAACCGGATCTAATCAATCCACAACGATAGGGACAACGACAACCGAATCAACATCCATCGACATTACAAATAATCCAATCAAAGAGTTACGTAAAAGAAATTTATTACCATTATATTCGATAATAATTGAAAAACAAAAATATTTAAAACAAAATGATAATGATAATGAAAAATCAACAACAACAACAACAACAACGATAAAAAGAATAACATCACAATCGATAGTATCGATACAATCATCATCACCATCACCATCGACAACAACATCATCGTATAGTTATTTTTGGTTAATATTAATTGCATCATTAATTGTTGCAACAATATTAATAATAACAATATATTTTGCATATCGTAATATAAGTAAAGATTGGCATTTTATTCGAAATTGTGAAGATGGTTTATTAGATGATAATGATGATTTTGATGGTGATGATGATGATGATGATTATGATGATTATGATGATGATTATGGTGATGATTGTAATGGTATGGGTGTTGGTGTTGGTGTTGCTGGTGGTGGTAATATTATTGCCGTAGAGGATTTTGATCCTACAAATTTATCATGTCCAAATTCTCGTATGAAAAAACTGAAACAAAAACAAAAAAAACAAGCACTAGGTGCCGGCACCACCACTGTACGACCAAAACGTAATCTAGATTCATTAATGATAAGAAAATTACGTTTTCAATTTGGTTATGGTTTACCATGTCCATTTGATAATCGTCAAACAAAACAACAACAACAACAAGATGAAATTAATAATAATAACAATAATAATAAAATCAATGATACAAGTGAAATAACAACAACAATAATAACACCAATAATTAATACAACAACAACAATGATTAATCAACAACAACAACAACCAGAAGAATTACAATTTGAATCTAAACAACAACAACAACAACAACCAATGGAAAAAGCATTATCAGTTGTAAATGGTGATGATTTTTTAAATCAAATTAAAAATAATCATCAACAAAACTACAACTACAACAACATCCGTAAAAATAATAACAACAACAACAAAATTGATGATCATCAAATTATTATTCATCATAAAACATAATGGGTTTTTTTTTTGTAATTTTTTGTAATTTAATTTTTATAATTTACAAACAAGAGAGCAAGAGAGAGAGAGAAAGATACACACTTTGTACAAAATAAAAGTTATTTTTATCACAAAAAAAATAAAAAGTTTTTAAAAAGTTTTTTTAGTTTTACCAAGAATTTTGTCCCGTTATCTGTTGATGCTGCTGCTGTTGTTGATTATTATCTGGAATTTGTTGAAAATTATTCTGGCTATGATGATGTTGATGATGATGATGATGGTGGCAACAATGTTTACAACAACGATGATATTGTTTTGGTAATTGTAATTCATTATTTCGATGTTTTTGGTGATGGTGGTTATAATTATTTCGATTGTTCATCATCGATATATCTGTCATTACTATCGATGGTATTTTTTTCTGTATAGTATCTGGATGTTTATTTGTAAGGCACATTGTATTATTATCATTATTTCCACCATCTACTGCTGCTGGTACATCATTAACCAATATGATTGATGAATTGATTGAATTATTGTTACCGCCACCAGCGCCACCACCATTATCAGCACCAATTTGTCGGCTACCGATCGATAATTGATGTGATAAACATTTACGATTCGTACGTGGTTGTTGTTGTTGTTGTGGATGATGTTGATGACATTGATGTTGTTGTCCTGATTGACATCCACCATTAACACCGCCGCCTCCACCACTATTACTATGTCCACTTGAATTAAAACTATGACGACCAAAACAGCTTTGTTGTACATAAAGCATGAATGCAGCACGAAATCTTGTTGATAACAGCGAGTAGATCTAGAAAATTTTTTCATTTTTAAAATTAAAAATTTATAAAAATCAAAAATTACAAACTTACCAATGGATTTAATGAACTATTCAGATAGTAAAGACATCCTGTAATCAGTAAAAGTACATTAATAATTCCCATTACAATTTTTGGGTTAAATAATCATTCATTTAACCCATTACTACTACTGCAACTACTAGAACTACTTAATAGATAAAACATACCAGCAGATAAAAATAAAATACCATTAATTTGTCTCAGAAACATATTCCAACTTGAATATAATGTTACATATAAAAATAATAAACGTTGTGCATGAAATGGTGACCAACAAAATGTAAATACAATTACAATGACCACTGTATAGGAAGAGAAAGAAAAACAAAAAACAAAACCAAAAAAATGACAATTTTTCTGAATAATTAATATAATGATTGCGTGCGTGTGTGTGTGGTGTATATGGTTGGGTGGACAATAACAGGAAGATTATTATTCTAACCATTATTCTGATTAGAATCCAGGAGAGAGAGAGAGGGAGAGAGAGAGAAGATTTTGTCAACTTGAAATCCACTGGTTTTGTTTTTGATTGTAATTTTATTGTGACTTTACAACAAAAATGAATGAATGAATCATATCAGGGTTATGTGAATGAATGAATGGTTAACTTGTTTTTTTTAATTATTCATAACAACAAGAATCTTTTCGTTCCTTTTATCTATTTCTTCTTGTTTGGAGTCTGGTTACTATAACGAAATGATTAATAAAAAACAACAAAATTCCTTCAATGATTTTATCCAATAGCGAAAGAATATTTTGCCTTGTTTAAAACTCCTGTTATCATAATGAACCTTGAAATCTATGAAATATTACACAGTGAGACACTGTCCAAAAACTTGTAAAAATTCAATGAAATTTCCAGAAAATTTATTGTAAATGTTTTTGTAAAAATTACTTACCTAACATACGAATAACAATACGTCTTGATTGTATTATTTTTCTTGATTGTAAATGATCATTTAATTGTTGTTGTTGTTGTTGTCCATAATAATCATTTGATAATGATGATTGTTGTAAATTAAAATTATAATCTAATTTTATTGTTTTTTTTAATTTTTTTGCAATTTTATAATAAAGACAAGAAATTATTAATAATGGAATTAGGAAGAATATGATTGTCGATGATAACATTATTAATTCCCAACGTTTATCCGGTACGTTATAAGCTAAACCACACCAGGCACTTTGTTTGATTAATTTTTGTTTTTGATGATTTGTTGTTTCTAAATAATTAACACGTGTCAACAGTACTAATGGTATAGCACCTGATATTGATATTAACCATATTAAAAGAATATTACGATAAACTAAACGTTTTATATGTAATATGGATTTAAAATTGAATAATGTTTGTGTTGTTGGTTGTAATGTTTGATGTTTTGATGAACCACAAATGGCTAAAAATCTTTCCACTGTAAATGCCACTATGGTTGGTGGAATGGAATGTTAAAATGGTGGTGGATGGCAATTTTCAATGAAGTTTTTTTAAGAAAAAATCACCAAATACTTACCCAGTGTTAATACGGATGCATTGGCCGTACCTTCCAATATTAATGTTTTCAATGAACACATAACACTACCCAATTGCCATGGATATTGATGCCATAATGTATATAATTCTAATGGTAAACCTTGAATTTGAAAAATTTGAAAAAAATCAATAAAAAAAAATCAATGAAATCAAACAAACAAAATCAAAAAATCAATAAAAATCAAACAAAATTTCATCAAATCTTTTTTCTTTCTTGATTTTTTTTTAATTTAAAAAAAATCAAAGTTTTTTATTTTTTCCCTTTTTTTCATCAGTTTTTTTTATTTTGATTTGAAAATGAAATTCAATTCAATTTCGTCACACAAAGCAGCAATAATGTCAATTTCATCACAGAATCAAATTCTGATTTGGTTTTTGTGAAAAAAAAGCTAGAAAAGTTTTTCTCTCGTTTTCAATCGGAAATTGAAATTGAATCAATTTCAACAAACAAACAAACAAACAAAAAAATTGCTGACCATAGAAGAAAATTTTCCGGAAAAAACATTTCCAAGAAAATTTCCCACCAGAAAAATTTTCCAGAAAATTCATTTCCATAATCATTGCAACAACAACATGATGAATTTTTCATTATGTGTTTTTTTTAATATCATTAATTTATTTATAAATCCATAAAAAAATTTGAATCATAATTATAATTATAATTATAATTACAAATAACTGTCATTGAAAAAAATGATTTAAAAAAAAAACAAAATTCATTTTGTTTGTTTTGGTTGTCAAGCTTTGTTCAAAACGAGAAAAAAATATTTTCCAGAAATCAGATTAATTTATTTCATTTCATTCATTTTTTTCCGGAAAATTTCTTTCATTTCTATTTTGCACATTGGCATTCATAAGAAAATTATTAAAGAAATGAAAAAAAAGGATTCTTTTATCCAATTCGCATTAACAACAACAACAAAAATTCCAGCAACAACAACAACAATTCTAACGACAACAACAACAACAACAACAAATTCCAATGATAAACAGTGAAAGAAAACAAATTACGAATTTTACTTCTTCTACATCCTTTTTTTATCTTCTTTAATAATAATGTTCCGGAATACCAGAAAAAAATCTTATCACTTTTCTTATCATTTTGTATTATTTTTCTCATTACCTAATGATGATACTGGTTACAGATACATGTTTGTGTAGAAATAGCTGAAAATCACGAAAAGAATTTTTCGCTACTGAAAAAAAGGAATTTGCTGCTGAAAATTATCATCACATAACAGTCAAATCGAATGGGATAAACAAAAATGGAGAAAATTCCCCCGAATAAAAATTTACAAGAATTTTCTCCATCTTCCTCTTCTTCTTCTTCTGATTATTATCATTATAAAGAAGCCGACACAACCAAAAGAGAGAGAGAGAGAGAGAGAGAGAGAGAGAGAGAGAGAGAGAGATAATAATGGCATTCTGTAATTCATTGGCTTTATTATTATTATTATGATCATCAACAGCAGCAGCAGCAGCAGAAGCATCATCATCATCAAATATTCTCTGCATGCACAATTATCATAAACATCAAAACCATTTTTATGATATGGATTTTATCCCAAATCAGGAGGAAAAAATGGCCAATTATTATTTCTATTTCGAACAAACAAACAAACAAAAAAACCATTTTCTGTCGATATAGTTTTTGGAATTTCGGTTTCGGACTCTTTCTTATGGCTGAATTTAATCGCATCATTAATATTCATTCAACAGAAATTTAAAAATTCAAAAACATTTATACTTACTAAACATTAATGAAATAAGATCAGTAATAGCTAAATTACAAAGATAAAGATTTGTTATTGTTTGCATATAACGAAAACGAAATATAACTAATATTGTTATTATATTTCCAATCAGGCCTGATATTAGAATAATAATATAAACAATAGTCATTATAATAAGCCATATTAATGGTAATGCTTGTTGTGGACCAAGATGTTGGTAAAGATGTTCAGTTATATTTAATAATTCATAATCATCATTCAAATCATTATTCAAATCATCAATATCGATATTATCGATTGTTTTATTCATTATTCATTATGATCATTGATTTTCAAAAAAAAATCGATAATTTTAACCAATCAGGCACGAAACACACACCCACAAAAACGCCCACTTTTACTAACATCCACCAATCACATTGGATGAAAATGAACCAAAAAAAATTTCAATTTGATTAAAGTTGATTAACTAAAATTCTTGTTCATCATTCTTGAATGAATCGATTGCTGATAATTAAATTAAATTCAATCAAAACAACAACAACAACAAACGACAACAAATGAAGGGAGAGAAAAAAATTAGGTGAAATTCTCATGATTAACTTCAAAACACACACTATAATCGGATAATCATTTTCAAAAAAAAAACGGAATTTTTGTTTTGTTTTTTTTTTTGAAAAAACAACAACAACTGAATCGATTCGATTCTAAATTACAAATGTATTCTCTTGTTTCCAAATTCTCTAGTTTTTTCCAATTCTTTGCAAGTTTCATTGAATGATTCTCACAAATAATTGACGCATGCGTTTCATTATTGTCATTATCATCAATTCTAATTTCGACATCATCAATGATATCTACATCCCCAACACAAACACACACAAAATTGTGTCCAAATTTAACCCCCTTTCTAAACAACCGCACCACCTTCCTCCCCCTTTTCAAACAACCCTCAATGGATCAACATTCATTATCATTTTGTGATTCTTTCAATTTCTTTCATCATCATCATCATCATTGTCATTTGTAATTATGCTTGGGAAAATATTTTCAAAAAACTAAAATTCTGTTCGTTATTTTTTTTCACATTTCAGCTTTGTTTTTGTTGTTGAAATGATTACTGATGTTTTTTCTTCTGTATTTTTTAAAGCTTCTTTTCTGGTTCTCCGAGCTTATCAACCAAAACAAAATTTCATTGTTTCAAGTTTTTTTTTTATTTTCATTTTGAAACAAACGCACGCACACTGTGGTGGATGTGAAAATCATTAATTTTAATTTACGAATTTCGTTTTTTTTGAAACATGTTTTTTTTAGGATTTTTTTTCGTTTTCGTCGGAATTTTCCTCGGAAAGTTTTTCGGAGAGCCTTTTTTTGAAAATAAACTTTGAATTTTTTTTCATTTAAAAATATTCTGTATCCAAAGATCATCTGGAATCGGGATCATTACCAAGATAATGATGATGATGATGATGATGATTGGGAAATTTTTCGGAAACTTTTCGGAAAATTTCCAAAAAAAATAATTAAAATTAAACATGAAAACTAAATTAACAACAAAATCAATCACCCAAATCAATTAATTATAATTATCTATTGATGGTATCAAATTTCTGGGACCTTTCAAAAACAACGATACATATCAGTAAAATATTATCATTATCATCATCATCATATATCACCTATAGTCCCTCCCACCTTTATTTTGACCCCCACATAGCTCCACCCACCAAACATAAATCTAATTTTAATGAAGATATGTATACAGTATGTTTGCGTTTTATGTTTGCTTATGGATTATTTATTCTCGCGGGGTAAATTTTGATGAAAACAAACACAAGCACTTTGAGAGCAAAAAAAAACTTTTTATTTGCGAAATGAAATGAAAATGGAAAAATGTCAGGAAAAGAAGAGAATTGAGCCTGGTAATATTCAATTTTTTCATTTCATTTGATTTGAAAATATTCAACCAAAAAAAAAAAAAAAAAAAAAAAAAAAAAAAAAAGGTTAAAACTTAATCAACAAAAAAAAAAGGGAAAAAATTTAATTTTTGAAAATTTGNTGTTTTGTTAATCAACTAATGAATGTTGTAGCCTAATGAATGTAATTAACTGATTTAAATCTAGTATATAAAGCCTTCCTAAATTATCATTCAATCATCGAGTATTTTGGAGATCTATGATCTTCATATGCTTGGTCAATAAAATATTTTATTCTAAATTATATCCCGTTTTATCATTACAACGCCAAAGCTGCACACACAACATTCGAACACGTAAAGATTTACGTTGAAGTTTCCATTTATTAGTTACATGTATACAGTATGTTTGCGTTTGTTTGTTTGCTTATGGATTATTTATTTATTCTCGCGGGGTAAATTTTAATGAAAACACAGGGAGATTTGAGAACGAAAAAAACAAACTTTTTATTTGCGAAATGAAATGAAAAAAATTTCAGAAAAGAAGAGAATTGAGGCTGGCAATATTCAATTTTTTTTTCATTTGATTTGAAAATATTCAACAAGAAAAAAAGGTTACAACTTAATCAACCAAAAAAAAAGTGATAAGATTTAACTTTTGAAAATTTAGTTTTTTTAAATCGATTTTGACTTTTTCGTTTTCGAAAAATTGCCTGTTTTGGTTGGTTGGTTGGTTGGTTGAACGAAATGAGCCACCAAACCAAAAACCCAAAAAAGTAAAATTTCTGCATCATTTCAGCTGAAAACCAAAGTTTTTTTGCATAAAAATTTTTGCAAAAAAAAAGTTTTAACCCTAAAAAAATCGGATTTCCAAAATCGATTTTCATTTTTTTTTCTGGTTTTGGTTGATTGTTTTTTCAAAGCCATTTATCGAAAGTCGAAATGTTTACGGGAAATTTCTCATTTTTGAAAAAAACCAAAAAACAAATCGAAAACGAAAACCGCCAACATCAAAAACGTAACCAAAGAAATAATGAAAATAACATATATATTGATTCGTAATTCGCTTGAGAATATTTCCTGGAAAAATAAATTTATCAAATTGTCATGTTGCTGATGTAATAATAATAATATTACTACAGTGTTTGTCACACACACACACACACACACACACACACACACACACACACACACAGAATTCTGTTCATCTGTCAAACAAACAAAAAAAAAACAAACGTAATTTGACAACTGTCAAACAGAATTTATCAATTCTTTCGATTCTTAGTTGACAAGTTACTGTATATGTGAATTTGTTGTTGTATGTGATCAATTTCCAAAAATGATTTTCTTATCTGCTTTCTTCTTTCTACTTCTTTCTTCTTCTTTTGAGAAAAATGAATAAATCCTTCAGGAAAGGAAAAAGAAACAGAAAATGTTTTTGGAAAGAATTTACAATCAGAAATAAACATATATATTGACAGATTTCAAAATGTTTTTCAAATGAATGTTTGCTTCACTGCAATGCATTTTCGATTTTTGTTTTTAGTTTTAGTTTTTGGTTGGAATTCCCAATAGAATTATAAATGTCATTACGAAATATGGAGAATGTAATACTATTAATTCTGGTCAAACAAAAGAGAGAGAGAGAGAGAGAGAATGGAAGAAAAAAACATTAATTAAATTAATTAAAAAGTTGATTAACAATTTTTTACAATGTCAAATTTTTATTTTTTTTCTCGCTTTTTTCAAAAACATTTATTTTATTTTTACAAATGAAATAATGGATGTGAAAATCTTGTCCGATGATTCGGATGTCGATTTTTTTTTGACTTTTCTGCTTCTTAGTAGGCGAAGAATATCCAGAATAACAACAACAACAAGGCAACAACAACAACAAACAAAAATATATGATTATTTAATGATTATGGTGTTATACTGTTTGTCATTATCATTATGATCATGATCATTATTATTATTATAATGATCATTATAGAATCTGATTCTGAAATGAAATAAGAATGTAGAGATAGAGAGAAATGGAAAGAATCCAAGAATATTCTCCATAATCATAATTTTCAATTTATTCCAATGAAGAAGTTCATATAGTGTATGAATTTTAATGATATTCTTTTGTTGTTTATTTTCGACCGGGGGGTGTGTACGCAAAAGTGGGGGTGGTGACAAACCATTCATTCAAATTGACAGCACTCCCTCTGCCACACGCCCACTGGCATTCGAATCATTTTTTTATTTATCTTCTGGTCTGATTTTTGCTTTTGAAAAAATTCTGACCAAAAAACATTTTTGAAAAAAATGCGCTAACAACCCAAAATATTTATTGATTTCAAATGAAATTTTTCGTTTTTCATTTGATCTATGTGTGGGTGGTAAGATAAGAGTAAAAAAAATCGATATAGAAAAAAACAGAAGCAGAATCCAGTAACTCAAAAAACAACATCATTTCGAAATGAAAATGGAAAAAAGAAAAAAACGGTTAAATGGGATTCACTCATGAATCATGATTCCAACCCGATAAAGAAGAAGATGAAGAAGACATATTTTATCATCGATATTTTCATCATCATCGTTTCTGTTAACCCCGAAGCACACACATAAAGAACAAAAAAGAAATCAATTTCAAACATCAATCCATTTTTCAAATCTTTCGTTTCATTTCATTTCATTTTCGTTCAAGAAGAATATTCTGCGAAATTCAATACCATCTTTCGAATGATGATGATGATGATGATGATGATGACAACTCAATGAATCAAATGATTTTTTTTCTTTCTTTTTTGAAATGATAAATGGATTCACGAACAAACAAAAACAAAAAACGAAGAGAATATAAAAAAATATTCTTGGGAATTTTATTTCATTCATTTTTTTACAGAAAAATTCTTTTAAAAAAATCTATTTTACAAAAATATTCGACTATTTCGACCGAAAAAAGGAAGAGAAAAGAAGAGTAATGCTATTTCGATCCACCATCATTGAAAGGCCACTTAAACTAAATGTTTTTTTTCCATGGATTTTCCATCATTATTGTTGTTGTCGTTGCTTTGTTGTTGTTGTTGTTGTCATCATTCCAGATTGTTGTTGCTGTTGATCAAGATTAATTTGTTTTTGAAAAAAATGACGTAATTGTTTTGATTTTAATTTTTCAGTTGATGCAAGGACACCTTGATGTATATATTTAATATCATTACGTATTTTTGTTATTAATGTTATTAATTGATTTTCTTTTGTACATAAATCGATACTATTGAATACTATTGATGTTGTCGTTGATGTGGATGTAGCCGCAGCCGCCGCTGTTTTCAGATTCGAATGTTCCGAATCTTGTCGCTTAGATTTCAACATGGTCGACTTCGAAAAGTTATTCGATATTTTCTCATCACCACTTTTGACATCTTTTCGTTGTTGTTCGGTAATTAACTGCTGCTGCCGGTTATTATTATCAATCAAATCCATATTACGGATATTCAGATTATGTGAATTTGTATAATAATCACTATTATTATTGAATGCTTCATAATCATCATTTGATTGCTGCGTTGATTGTTCTTGTGATTGCGATTGACCATCATCATCGTTTTTGTTATCAGCAAATTTAATGAGCTCATCATTCGAATTATCCATATTATTTCGAATGAAATTTATCAATTCCATTTTTAAATGTCCAGTTTTCATTTCATTATCTAAATCTTTCAACATTTGTATGGTTAATTTTCGTATTGAATCTTGGCGATTTTCAAAACCATCACCATCATGTTCCAATTCATTTAGGATATTTATCAAATGTATACTATCATCTTTGGTTGTTTGTAATCTTTGTTGTTGTAGTTGTTGATTCGATTCTTGCGAACCATTGTTGTTGTTTTGACAATGGTGAACATCATTGACTAGATGATTATTATTATTCGGGGTAAAATTTGTTGCTGTTATCGTTGATTGATTACAAAAACATGATTCGGCGGTTGTTTGTAAATTTTGTGTTAATGATAATATTTCTGGTGTTGTAGAAGAATTATCATGAATAATATTAGCTGTTGTTGTATTATCAGCAATTTGTTGTTGTTTTGATAGCCATTCATTTTGTAAACGTAAACGTATAACTTCTTTAACTAATTGATTACGACATTCTTCTAAATATGTACATTTATGTTGCATACGTTTTAAACGTTCAACTAGATCACATATTGCAACACGTAATGTAAATTCGCTACCACTTGGATTCATTTTCTTCGTTTGTTCGTTTTGTCCGTTGATTGCTGTTATCGTTGAAACAAATGAATTCAGGAATGTTTTTTGATCGTCGTTTGAGATTCGATTCGTTTTTCTTTTTGTTGAAATATTCTATAGCTGGATCATTATCGTCAGCGGGTGAACAAAAAGGAATGACTGATCAGCTGCCAAATAACTTTTTGGGTAATTTTTCTTGATTTTTTCGATTCGGTTGTCGTGTCGAGGATATATTTGGCTAATGAAAAAAAACAGACAGAACAGAAAAAAAATTGAGCAGCTGTATCCACCACCATCCAAAAAGTGCTGCCATCTAACAATTTCGACCGATATCATCGGTTATGGAAAATCGAAAAATGATCTTCTTCTTCGTCGTTTTCGAAAGTTTCATCATCGTTGCTGTTTTTGAAGTTTATTTTTGTTTTTTTGGTTGGAAAATTCTTCATTGAATCTTCATCAAATTTCAATGAAAACAATGATGTTGATGTTGTGAAGATTCTCGCCAAGTTTTTCGTCTTTCGTTTTGTTTTGTCTTACTTCTTTCGTTTTGTCTTTCGTTTTTTGAAGCAATCAACACAATCGAATCGAATGTCTTCGGATAATTCATCGACGATTGATTTGGATGATCAATCGATGATCGATAATCAATCAAAACCTATACCACCACCACCACCTCCACCTCCGCCTCCTTATTTATCATTAACCGAAAAATCATTATCATTATTAGATTCATTTACAATTAAAAGATTGAAATCAATCAATCTGGATGAAGATCAAATTGTTTTATTTGCCTGTCAAAGATTTATTAGCCTATTTCGTTCATTTATAAATGAATATAAATCATTAACATTATTTTCATTATATCATCATTGTGATTCAATCATACAGAATGGTCCTACGTGAGTTTTGTTTATTCAAAATTGGTTTATTCAAAATTTGTAATTTCATTTCATTTTTTCCCCCTATTCAGTTGCGGATTAGTTGCATTGAAAATGTCCCTAACATTGATCGATAATGAAATGGATATTGATATTGGAAAATTATATCAAAAAGCACGATCATATGGTTATACAAAATTTGGTGAAATGTTTTCAGTTGAAAATATGGTTAAATTCATTTCGAATGAATTTTTATTAACTGTTGAACATTGTTATGATTTAGAACGATCAATGTTTGATGTTGTCAGGCATTTATGTTATCGACAACCAATTCTTGTACCATATGATGCTGATTTTAATTATGAACCTGGCCTGAAACAAGGTAATCGTGCACATTGGGCATTTATTTGTGGTTTTTGTTTATTGGATCCAATCGATATGTGCAATTATCAAAAAATGGGTAAAAAAATTTCATTCAGTGATTATATTATAACAATGAAAAATGATTATAATCAAAATGAAATATCCATATGTCCATTATCGTTGAAACATACAAATTGGTGGTCAATATTTGATTATATAAAACGTTCCATATCTATTGAACGATTATTTGTTTATGCCCGACATGGTACAAGTAAACATTTACAACTATGGAATTATCGAAAATTATGTGAAAGTAATCGTAATTTACAAAAAGTATCCCAAAAAATTTTAAATGATTTTTATCGTAAAAATATGATCTATCCAAATGATGGTCGTTTAGATCAAACACTTTCAAATCAATTTATTATGATTCATGGTTATAATAAATTTTTATAAAATATACAAATTACAAATTCTACAAATTACACACTTGAATATTAAAAAATTTTTACTATTTATAATTTACTCAGAAAATATGTTCAAACTTTTTTTGTTTTGTTTTGTTTTGCTTTCTAAAAATGTTATAATAAAAAAATTTTTTTTTTGCCAAAAATCAATCATAATCTGGTTCAAAATCTTCTTTGTCGATTAATTTTTTGTCATCTTTTTGATCATTATCATCATCATCATCAATCGATTGGTTATTCTTCTTCTTATTCTTATCTTCGGATCGTTCTTTTGATTTATTATGGCTATTTGTTGATGATTCTTCTTTCGATGATTTTTTATGATTCTGTTGTTGTTGTTGATGGTGGTGATGATGACGATGATGATGTGAATGCTTTTGTTGTTGTTGATGATGATGACCAGAATTTTTTATTTCTTTGGTTTTTATTTCATTTTTATCATCCGCTTCTATTTTGGCTGATTGATGATGTACATCATCATTTCTTTTCTTTACAGCACTAGTCGCTGCTGCTACTGTTGTATTCTGTAATAAAGATTTTCGTCCATTTCGAATTGTTTCCATTTGATTAAAATGACCATTTTTCTTTTCAACAACATGAGAATTATTCGATGATTCTTTTTGATCTTTGATCAATCGATTATCGTTCAATGTGGTTGTTGTTGTTGTTATTGGTAAATCTTTCGAATGAATTTTCAATTCATTTTCGTTAGCAGCTTTTGCTAAATTATTCTCAACATTGTCATCATCCTCATCATCATTATTTATCCGATACAATTCATCAATTTCATTCAATTCTTTTTGTATTTTAGCACGTTTTTCAGCAAATATAACTAAAAAAAGGAAAAAATTGAGAAAATAAACATAGAACAAAACAAACTCTTACTTCTATATTTATCTTTAGTTTCTTGTGAACGTTTCAATGTTTCAGGTGTATGTTTTGCTGGCATATAGAATATATTTGGTTTAACTTTTGTTTCGATAAAATTTCCCAAATATTGTTGTGATTGTTCCCATTTTTTATGCTATTTTCATCAAGAGAAAGAGAAAAAAGGGTTAATTAATTAATTATTCAGGTAAAATCAAATTCAAATTCAAATTACAATTTCAGCACGTTGTAATTTCATTTCTAAACATTTCATTTGTAAACGTTTTTTAGTTCTTTCTTTAAATAATTTTTCACGTTCATTTTTTAATTGTTCACGTTCCTGTTCATCAGCTTGATCCAATTTTTGTTCAATTTCGGCACGTTTTTGCTAAAATAAATACCAAAAAACAAAATTATGAATTTGAGTGAAGAAAAAATCGAATCAGAAAATATTTACCAAATCTTTACGTTGTGATTGTTCATTTTTAAATTTTTCCAATGTACCAAGTATATGGCCAAACATTCGTCGATTTCTTGACATTGATTTTTTATCCAATTTTTGTTCTTCCAAAACTTGATTTCGATGTTTCATTTCCCATGATGTAGCCACTACTTGTGATTGTAATGAACGTTTATATTGAATTTCATTATCATCATTGTCAACATTGAAATGATCATCACCGCCAAATTCGTTTCTGTGAATCAAAAAAAAAAGATTTTCAACAAGAATTAACAGCGAAAGCTGGTAGCGAAAAAAATACATACAATTTTCGTTTATTTCCAGCAAACGATGATGATTGACGAAATGATGATGATCTTTGATTATTATTATTACGGCCATTATCATCAAACAATGAACGATTAGGATCTTTACCGGTTATTTTTTTAATATTATCATCAATATCGATTAATGATTTTTCTAATAAATTATATGATGATTCAAGTTTTTCAAATAAGTTCATGATTTTGTTCAATCAATCAATTATTATCAGTGTTCAGTTGTTTATTCGGTAGAAGAGATTCTGAAAAAAGAATATTCTCTTTCTTTCGCTCTTTGGATAACAATTTTTAAAATGAAATTGATTTTTTTTTCTTTGCTTTACTCACTGCAGTTGTTGTTGTTGTTCCAGCAAGCAACCAGAGGCAGTAGCAGCATCGGCAGCAGAAGCAGCAAGAATTTAACCAAAAAAAAAACCGTTCAAAAAGCTCAGGATTTCAGTGGGATTTTGAATGAAAATTAATTAACCACCGTTTTCCACGATGGTTATCTTGATGATCGTAATCTTTTGATTGATAATTTTCGTTTTTTGTTTTTTTTAATGATTGAAAAAATCAAAAGTAAACAGGGGAAAAAAATGATGATCCGAATCTAAAAAAATTCGAATGTCATTTCATTTATGAAGTGACCAAACGCATTGAAAAGATTCATAAATCCAAAACAAACCACGTGGATTTTCTTTTCTTTTTTTTCTCCCGAAATATTTTCAAATAAGAATCACTTTTACCGAAAAAATGACCGATTTATTTGAAGCCGAAATGGCTAAAATTGATGATTATAAACCTGATGAAAAAATGGATGACAATTCACAATTTACGACCGTAGTGAATAAAAAATCTAAACGTAAACGTAAACACGATGAAATGGAAGTCGATGATAAAACCGTGAAGAAATCCTTGCCAAAATTACCAAATTTTAAACCTGTTGATGAAAGTTCAACGGTAAGTTTTTCTAATCTTATCTGAATTATGGCTAGAACAATTTTTGTTTCTGTATTTTTTCATTGAATAGAATTCTGGAATTGAATATCGACGAATACAGGTTCCATTGAATCGTTATAAATCATTGAAAGAAAATTGGTTGAAAATATTTACACCGATTGTTGAACATCTTAAACTACAGATGCGTTTTAATTTTCATACAAAATGTGTTGAAATTCGTACACCACCTGGATTGAATATTGATTCGGATAAATGTAATATACAAAAAGCAGCCGATTTTATCCAAGCATTTATTTTAGGATTTGAAATTGAAGATGCCGTAGCTTTGATTCGTTTGGATGAATTGTTTATCGAATCATTCGAAATACAAGATGGTATGTTTGTTGTTGTTGTTTTTTTAACCCTGAATTGATTCAATTTGAACTTTTTTCATTTTAAAAAACAAAAAAGTAAAACGATTAAAAGGTGATCATCTAAGTCGTGCAATTGGTCGTATTGCCGGTTCGAATGGTCGTATTAAATTTACCATTGAAAATATTACCAAAACTCGTATAGTTTTAGCGGATACGAAAATTCATATACTTGGATCTTATAATAATATTCGTGCTGCACGTACAGCAATTTGTAATCTAATTCTTGGTAGTCCACCATCAAAAGTATTTGGTAATATGAGACAATTGGCTAATCGTTTGATTGAACAATTTTGAAACAACAATCCTGATCCCTATAATAATCAAATTGTCTTTCCTTTTTTTTTTGTTTGTTTTTCTTTATTTAAAAAAATAAAATTTGATTAAAAAAATTTCAATTGTAAATGTTGTTACTAGATGGCGCTTTTGACCAACCAAAAAAAAGGAAGTGTTTCGTTATAATATTCAAAAAAAAAACCAAACCAACAATCAAAACGACAAACTTTAATTTTTTTTTCTTTGTTTCAACAATGTTAAGTTATTTTTTTTTCAAACAAAGCACACCATCTCATCGATTACTCACCGAACATTAGTCATTTTTGCAATTTGATTTTTTTGATTGTTTTTTTGCGTATAAATTTCATTGATTTTTTTTGTTTCTGATCGCAATTTTTGTTGGATTTTTGATTTTTGATTTTTTTCGATTCGCTCGCTCACCCAATAGCAAAACCAAAAAAATCATGAGTTTTCGTGGCCGATCTCGTCCACGTTTTGGTTTTCGTGGTGCAATTTCATCATCTAGACGATCATCAACACCCGAACCACGATCACCACCACCGCCAACAGTATTATCACGGATTCAAGGTTTTTTCCCCTTATTTTTTGAAACATTTTTTTTTTCTGAAAATTTTCTTTCATTTTTTATTTTGCAGAAATTGAAGAAAAAACGACCCGTATTACATCGGTTAGTTCGGCAATTTTATCATCATCATCATCATCATTATCATTACCGTCAACAATTCAATCTCGTGAACAATCTCTTGAACCACAGCAACAACAACAACGACGACCAACATCACGGAATATTCCAGCAGCTCGTTCGACTGGAGGAACTACTCGATATCAACGACCAGATTATTCTAAATATCCTGAATCACATGATTATCCTATTGTACGTTCGAGTGAATATGAACCGGGTAAACATGGTCGTAAAATTGAATTATTGGCTAATTTTATGTTGCTCAATGTTCAACCAACAATTGTTCATCAATATGATTTGAATTTTCGTTTTAAAAACGGCGAACAACAATCGGGTACCGTAATACCGATTGCTGAAAATGAACGAATGCAAAAATTTTTTGCACGTATCATTCCACAATTGGTAGCGAAATTCATTCAAATTAATGATAATGTTTTTGCTCGATTATCACAATATGTTTATGATAATGGTAAAAATATTTATACAACCGAATTGATTGATACTGGAATTCTTTGTAAAGAATTTTCCGATGATATTAATGGCCGCAGGAAAGAATTTTTGGTTGAAATATCAAAAGTACAAACTATTGATCTATCACAAATACCGGAATATTATTCCGGTCGAATTTCCAACATATCTGAAGTGGCAATAAATTTTCTGGAAATTTTGCTACAAAATATTTGTTTGAAAAAATATCAATTTCATCGTCGTAATCTATATGATTGTCAGAATGGTTTAATACGTGGACCAAAACAATTCATACAATTTGTACAAGGTTTTAGTACGGCTGTACATCGTACTCAGTTTGGTCCATCATTAAATTTACACCTGAAAACATCATGTATGATATCATTATCAGCTGAAACTCTAATTCAATTGATTGCAATGTTATTGGATGGTCGTGATCCACGACAATTAACATCATCATCATCATCATCAAGAGATTTGGAACGTATAAATAAAATATTACGTGGTTTAGATGTATATTCTCGGCATATGGGCCGACGAATGAATTATAAAATTAAAGGAATTTTATCACGAAAACCAAATGAATTATCATTTGAAATGAGACAAAATGGTAATGGTTCTGGTGGTGATGGTGATGGTCAAGAAGTACGATCGATTACAATTAAAGATTATTTTATGGAAAAATATCATATTGAATTGAATAATGATTATCCGGTTGTACAATTGATTGGTAGACCGAATTTTTATATGCCATCAGAGCTATTGATAATGAGTGAAAAACAATTTTTAAATACAACAAAAATTGATTCATCGATTCAAAATGATCTTTTACATTCATCCACACATAAACCATTGATTTATTTAAATAATGTTACACGTTTTGCCAATGAAATTGCCGAAATAGATCCTGAACGTATGAATCATTTTGGTGTTGATTTACAACCACGACCAGTACGTTTTTTTGGTCGTATATTTGATCCAATACGTTGTATTGGTAATCAACGTAATGATCGTTTTGCATCAACAATCAGTACTGCTGTAGGTGGTAATTCATCAGCTGCAAAATGGGCATTTTTTAGTTTTGATGAACGTTTTAATCGTCGTGATATTGATTCATTTGTTCATGAACTTAAACAAACTAGTCGTCGTTTTGGTTTGGATTTATCTAATTGTTTGGAACAACAATTAGTACCAATTAATCAACAAAATTTAAATGATGTTGGAAATGTTTTTGCTAATATTTTACAACATTTACCATCTTGTAATTTGTTGATAATTGCATTACCACAAAGTAAGAAAAACCTAGAATATTCTGTCACTATATTAACGCGATATATTCTCTCTTCTTTTAGTTTCCTTATTGTATAACATGGTTAAACATTTTGGTGATCAAAAATTCGGTATCGTTACACAATGTTTGAATGTTGAAAAAGCTAAACGTCGTAATCGTGGTTATATAGAAAATTTATTATTGAAAATAAACGGAAAACTTGGTGGCCAAAATAGCTATATTGATTTGAATGTATTGAAAGCATTACCATTGGATCCAACAAAAACAATGGCCATCGGTATTGATGTTAATCATCCTGGTATTGGTGAAAAAATTCAAAGTTCAATTGCCTGTACAATCGGTAGTCTGGATCAACATTTTACACGTTATACGGCAAGTGTTCGGGCACAAAAACAAGAAAAAATAGAAATGATTTCTGTACTTGAAGAAATGATTAATGAATTATTGATTGAATATGAAAAATATAATAAATATTTACCGGAAAATTTTATTATATTTCGTGATGGTATTGGTGATGGACAATTTTTATTGGCACAAAATGAAATTGATCAAATTCGTCGTTCTATTCGTCAAAAAGTGAGAAATGGTAAACTAATGTATATCGTAACACAAAAACGTCATCAAACACGTTTTGTTTTATCAAAACCAAGTGGTTCAATGGATCGTCCTATTTATAATGTACCATCTGGTACAATTGTTGATCATACAATTATCGATCCAAATTATCATATGTTTTATATCAATTCACATTTTTCACCATTGGTAAGTGTTATTTGCTGTTTGTGTGTTTACCTGATGATAATGTTTAAATAACCAATAATAGGGAACATCACGTCCATTGAAATATGTTGTTTTACATAATGATTATGAACGACGACAAATGAGTCAGGATGATATACAGAAATTTTGTTTCTATCTTTGTCATAATTGTACACGTTATCGTGGTGGACCAATTGCAATGCCCGTACCGGTTCGTTATGCTGATCTTTGTGCTTATCGTTCAAAATTACATTTAGAAGGACAACATGCAAGTAGACAAATACCGTTAGAATGTCAAGAAGAATTTGAACGTCATATTATTCAACAATTGAACAAATTGGTCAAATTGAATGATAAAATTAAAAATACACTTTTTTATTGTTAATCGAAACAACAAACAAACAAACAACAATAATATTCTAATATAATCAACACTGCCAAAACAAAAACAAATATTTTGAATTTCAAATTAATAAAATAAAATGTATTTTGTTATCATGTCCAAAGATGGCGCTCATTTTTCCTGTGTGTGTGTTTTCGAAACGTTCGAAATTTGAATTTTGTTTCGAAAAAAAAAATTTTCTCAAAATTTCCAATTATGAAAACAACATCGTTGACCCTTTTTTTGACTTTATTTTCCCCGAAAAAATAAACAACAAATTAATTAAAAGTGATTATGATCAAAGATTAAAAATTGTGAAAAACAAAAACAACAACAAGGGAGTTGACCAATCTCTTTATCTATCTTTTTCTTAATCGAAATTATCTTTCTTTTTTTTACCATTTCTATAGGTGAACAAAAAGGTGTGTCGGTCGAACAACACACATCATCCATCGGTGATAAACAACCATATAAAGTCAATCAAACGTAATCCAAATTAAAATCCATTTCAAACGAAATGGGGAAGCAAAATGCAAAAAAACAACAAAAAATTTAACCCGTTCAACGACTAAACAAAATTGAATGGTTCCAGGAATAAATCAAAAAAAAAAAAATGTTTTTCAATTTGAAAAAACAATTTGGACACTGTGGCAGTGTGTAATCATTAACACCAAATAAAACGATAACGATGGTGATTAGGAATTTAGTTGATTATGATGATGATGAACAGGTTTGATCGAAAATAACAAGTTGATTAGAGGATTGAATCAACAACAACAAAATCGATTAAATAAATATCATTAAGGAGAGAAAGAAAGATTGGAGTTTTTCTCCGAAAAAAATTTATTGGCCAATTTCGCCGGTTTGAAGAGAATTTTTGATTCTTTTATCGCCCCTCTAATTTCCACATTTACACACATTCCTCATCATCAACCGACAAGTTTTTCTCTCGTTAAAATTCAAAAGAAAATTTTTTTTTCACTCCCGAAACTAAAGATGTTCAATTTTTTTTCGGCTAAGAAAAAACCTGAATCATAAACATTTGCAACATTGAAACAAGCCAAAAGAAGAAGAAAAAATAAATCAAGTTTTCGGGTTCGATGACTATCCATCGATGATGATCATCCTTGACTCTAGTTTTTCTCTTCGGATTATTTGATGATGATGATGATTATCCTACAATTCATGATTACTCACTCACAACAGCCACAAACGTATTGATGAATCATTCATTCAGATAAACAAAAAAAAATTTTTTGAAACACCCAACTTAACCAATTTTAGTCACCAATTTTATAATCATCATCACCACTACTCTACTCTACTTTATCACTGCTAAGAACCAGTTTTTTTTTCATTATCAATTATATATTTTGTACACACAACCAATGAAATAATCATCAAAGATTCAGGTGAAATAAACCAGAGGATTATTATCATATAATTTTTTGAGAAAAGAAAATTTTTTTTTTCAAAAATATAAACATCCAGCTTCCAATTTTTTTTTTTTTTTTTTTTTTGAAAAACGTTCGAAACACGTTGATGTCGCCGCCGTCACCACACACATTGTGTATACCGGCTTTTTTTTCTCTCTTATCTCGTTCTTCATACAGGGTGATCAGATTTTTTTGTTGTTGTTTTGTTCATTCATTCTGTATTCGATCGAAGAAGAAATTTAAATCCTACACCAAAAAAAAACACCCGATACAAATTTAACTAAATCAATACATTTGGGGGGTGGGGAAACGAAAAATGACGCATGCTACGCATGTTCAATTCGAAAAAAATAATGATTGCATACAAACATGCAAAGTGCCGGAATTTTTTTTTTCATTTTCGGATTTCGAAAAAGTTCCACACACTTGTTTTTGCGCGTGCGTAACAACGTGATTTTTTTTGTTAAATAACATGGCAAAAATCCACGTTGTATGAATGAAGCAAACAAGGCCGCATTTGGTGTCCACGCCACCACTATACGATTTTTTTTTCTTTGATCATCAAGCACACTCATTTGGTATTTTTTTTTTGTGTCCCTCTCTCTCTCTCTCTCTCTCCCACTCTTTCAATGTGTATGTAATGCACACACGTTCGGTTTCACATTGTGTTCTTTTTTTCTTTTCTGGTCGACCACGCGGTTTTTTCCCTTCGCTTCATTGCAAAAAAAAAATTAAATGAATGAACCCAGAATATTAGAGACGAAAAAAAAATTGTGTTTATTTATTTTCCAAATGATACCGGCGTTTGATAAATAAAGAACTAAAGGGTTGAATACGGAAAAACAAATTTGAAAAAAATCAACAACAACAACAGAAAAAACGTGTATCTTACACGCGTACACACGCGAACTTTAAAGTAGAGAAATTCGAATTCGAATGTTTTTTTTGGTTTTCGATTTGATCTATATGGATCATCATCAACAACAACTGCAACCAAAACATCGATGAAAACAACGAAAATAAATTTGTTTTTAACAAAAAAAAAAGTAAATTTTAGAAAAAAAGGTTTGTAACTTTTTGTTTTTTGTTTCAATGTTATGAATTTTTGTTTGTTTGTTTGTTTCAATCGAAGAAAAAAAAGATTGAAAAAAATCAATTCGTTTTATCAAATTTTTTTTCTCTTCTCCCTCTTTTTATTACACATCATCATCATCATTGATAAGTTTCCTGATTGATTTGATTTTGACAAAAAAAACTATTTCTGTTACAATTTTTAATAGTAGAAAATTAAACGATGATTATGATGATGTTACACACACGTACATATCGCGCACGCCACGCCATACAATTCTTAACGAAAAAAAACTGTTGATGTGGCTTTTAAAATAATGATAACGAACGATTAAAAGAAAAAAAAATCCTATTTTTTCTTTTTTCAAAATAGAATTTTTTTTTCATTTTCCAAAATAGATCCACCTAGTTTTCGCATTTTACAAACACACACACAATACAATACAAGCCGGTTTACTTCTTTCGAATCTTTTTAGACCTAGATTCTTTAGTTTTTTTTTCATAATTTCAAATTCTTAATGTTTTTATTTTATCGATATTCTTGATGTTTTCAATTCGTAAAAGAGGTGAGTGTTTGGATTGATGGATGAGTGTAGGTGGGTGTTGTTGTGTACGTGGTGTATGGTGTACACGTGTCATAGCCTTGATTTTTTTTAATTCGATTTTTTTTCATTTGTAACAAAAAAAAATTTCTTATCAGAAAACAGTAATGAGATTAGATAAGCAATGAGACATCCAAAAATATACAAATTTTGTGAAGCTCGTGATTTTTGATATTTGATGATTCAATGATAAATACTATAATTCTTCCTGATATAATAATAATAATTTGTATTTGAAGAACAAAATTTTTTTAATGTACATTTTTTTGATCCATTTGTTTTTCCATTTTCTCTTTCATAAATTAGAACTATGGATCCCACTGAATCAATATTATCAACATTAAATTATACATTCGATTCATTAACATCGAATGATGATTGGAATAATTTTGGTTTTAATTCATCATCATCAATTATAAATGATGATTTATTATTAAATGATATTGATGATGTAAATGATTTTATTACAACCGATAATCTATTGGATACAATTAATGATCAATTATTATTTCAATCATTAAATAATTTTAATGATGATCATTATGATGATTTTTCATCATCATCATCATCGTCATCTTTACAATTTTTAAATAATGGTCATCATCAACATTATAATAGGAATCATAAGAATTATAATACCGGTTATGATTTAAATTCATCAATATTCAAACAACAACAACGACAACAAAAAAATTTAAAATCAACAACAACAACAACAAAATCGATTGTTAATCGAAATTTATCAAATCCAACTGTATCGATATTGAAACAATCACAATCATCATCCACACGTTATCGTGGATCAAAATTATCGAATAATGTTAATTTTGTTGCAACATCTGTTGTTGCTGCTGCAGCATCAGCAGTATCAGCAACAACAACAACAACAACAATGACAATTTCTCCAAAAGTTTATGTTACACAGAAAAAATCGGCAAAAAATTTTACAAAAGGTACATCGATTCTTGCAAAACAACAATCACGAAAATCAAATAAATCGTTATTGTTTTCATCAATGTCAAAGAATAAGAATCCGAATTTGTCCATGATAAAAGCATCATCAGCATCCGTAACACCAAAATCAATTCTAATGTCTAATGTAGTTGAATTGTCGCCACCGTTGCCTATATCATCATCATCATCATCAACATTAGATAATGAATCTAAAATATCATATCATCCACATATATCATTAAGAGATCATGATTATTGTAGTAATATAATATTTTTACCCACCACAACAACAACAACAAATGATGATAATAATAATAATAATAATGATTGTAAAAAAAATGAAAATGAAATTGATGATATATTAAATGGTTATTGTCCGGATGATGTTATGTTAAAAGAATTACCTGAATGTCTTTCCGATCTAATTGGTGGATTGGATAGTAATGATTTAATGAATAATAATAATACTGATGATTTATTAAATCATCTTAATAATGGTAATTTATTTATTAGATTTTATAATTATTTAAATCTGATTTGTTTTTCTTTGTTCCAAAAAATAGCTTGCAATATTATGACTGAACAATATCTGGAAGAAGCATTATCAAATCAAGATGATTTAAATTTACCAGATTTAAATCTAACTGAAGAAGATTTAAAACAAGTTATTGATTCTTGTTTAACTGAAGATATTTTTAATGATGATGATGATGATAATAATGATGAGGATAATCATTCACCAGATGTAGATAATATAACCAAAGAACATCAATATTCATCGAATATTGTTGATAATTCAGATGCGGCAAGTGTTACAACCGGTAGTACCGAAGATGATATATCTATGGATGATAAAAAATCATCATCATCATTTATTAGGCTCAAAAATCAAATAAAATCGAAACGTAATCGTAGTCTTTCATCATCATCATCAACAATGATATTGACCAAACGTAAACGACGATTTTCAACACGTTCTTCAGTGAATAGTTCGGATGCAATGTCATCATCTGAATCATCATCATTAGAATCAATAGAATCATCAAGTTCACGTAGTTCATCACCCGAACGAACATATAATTTGGCTAAAAATTTTATGCCAAATATTCATAATCATTATTATTATGCCAAAAATAATCATCAAAATAATAATAATAATAATAATAAATATCAACAAACAATTAATAAAAAACATCGAATCGAAATGAATATGGATAAAGGTAAACAATGGACAAAAGCATATTCAAAAACTATAACAAAAAAACAACAATTATCAACATCATTACCATCATCATCATTATTATCGAATAAAAATAATAAATGTAGAAATACAACAACAACAACAACATTATCGATAAATAATAATCGAAAACATCAGCAGCAACAACAGAAAAATTTTATCGATATAAATAGATCTATTAAAGATATTGGTTAGTGGATTTACAAACAAAGATTGAATATTTTGATTTATTCAATGATTTTCTTTTTCTTTTTCATAGATTCTCAACCAGAAAAATTGGATTTTAGAATAAACAACAACGATGACAAGTTAAAGACGAATGATCGTATCAATGGTTATGGTGGTGGTGATGATAATGATCGAAATGATGATGAAGATTTTGATATATTATTACGTTCAGCAGCGGAAGCATTCAAATATTTTCAACAACATCAACAACAACAACAAAAACAGAAACAGAAACAACAAAAAACTTAGACACGATGATGTGGTGATGATGGTGATGGTGGTGAGATATCATCATCATTATCATCACTGATAAATTGCAAACAAAAATGTGATTTGTTTTCAATTTCGAAAAAGAAAAATATCCTGATTTTTTTGTTTTGTTGTTTTTTTTCCTAAACAAAAAAAAAGTTTTGATTTCAGCCAACAATGTTTTTTTTTACATTGATACACACAAAACACACACATTTAATTGCATTTTAGATTCAAATTGAACAAAACCTTTTATATTTACAGTTTTCTTGAACAAAACAACAAGAAACAAAAAAAAGTATTTTTTACATTTAATCTCATTTGATTTAATAATTTAAAACGAAAATTTCTAGTGGACGGTGGGTTTTTTCATTTCACTTAAATCTTTTACACTAACCAACCTAATACATCTGATAATTTAACCTTGATTTTAAAGAAAAAAAAGCCCGGATTCTTTTTTTTTCTAAGAACAAAAACAAACAAACAAAAACACGCATCCAATATAGACAACAAAACCAAACAGAAAAATATTTATAATTAACTCAATATATTCCCTTCTCCCCATTGAAATAAAATATAATTTTTTTTTTGTTGTTGAAAAATTTTTTGTATTTTTTATTGATTTTAAATCATCAAACGATGGATATGGGATTTTTGTTTTTTAAAACCTAATTTGAATTTTTGGTGAATATAGTGTGTGTGTGTGTAGTAATTTAGTGTTAAAGTTCTTGTTTTGTTTTGTTTATGGTGATTGTTTTTGGTTAATAATTTAATTCGATTTTTTCATTTCATTTCTGGTTTGATTTTCGAACGATTTATGCACCTTGTTCTTCTTCTTCACCTCTGGTCAAGATTTGGGCAAATTTTTTAATATCAACATTTCCCCTGCCATCGGTCGGTGCTTCAGCTAAAATATTATCAGCCTATAGATGAGAAAAATGAGAAAAATATTTTTAAAATGACGGAAAAGGTTTTTTTTAAAGAAAATCCTTTTACCTCAGATGTTGAAAATTTTTCACCCCATGTTATCAATGAATGACGAAGTCTATGGAATGATATTTGATGTTTGATTAGTTGTGGTTATCGAAAAACATTTGAACAAAAAAAAAAGTTACTTACGTTTCTTCTTTACAAAGACCATTTCCTTCATCGAATTGTGCAAATGCATTCAAAATAACATCTTCTTCATCCGTACCTTGTGTACGATCACCAAATATTGTTAAAAACATTGTAAAATTAATTGGGCCGGATGCTTCTTTAATCATTCCTTCTAATTCAGAATCGGTACAAATACGACCCAATGAATCGAATGTAGCACGAATATCATTTTTCGATAGGAAACCATCTTTATCTTGATCAATAAATTGAAATGCTTCTTTAAATTCGGCAACTTGATGTTGGGTGAACATTGCAAAAACATTCGAACCAGAACGTTGTGCACGTTTTTTTGAACTTGTTTTTGGTGCTTCTTCAGCTGCTGCTGCGGCTGGAGCTGGAGCTGCGGCTGCTGCTGGTTCAGCTGCTGCTGCTTTTTCCGATTTCTTACTTTTCTTCTTCTTTTCTTTTACTTCATCAGCCTGAAATTAATTTCAAAAAATCAAAAATCAAAAATCGAAAGTCAAAAATGAGAGGAGAGCAAAGAGCCAGCGACGAACAAAGAATCTTACCATTTTTTTCTAAATGTAGATTTACAAATCAAAAATCAAAAGAAGATTCTTTTAAAAACAAAAATTTCAAAAACCGATGTTGTTGATGATGATGGTGACGACCAGCACAGAATAAGCTCCAGAATCCAACTGAAGAAAAAAAAAGAATTTTAGTTTTTCTTTTAATCAAATCCTGGTTTCTATCAAACAATGATGTTTAGCTTTTTTCTTTCTTTTTTTAAAAAAAAACCCCGTAAAGATCATCCAACAATTACAAGAACCAAAAAAGAAAAGAAAGAAATTTAGGGCGTAATCCTCACCATCATCAAACGAAAATGTCTAATAAATAATTGAAGGAAAGAAAAGGAGAAAAAAGCTAAACGAACGTAAACTAAATAAGTAAGTTAATAAGTTTTTATAAATTGGATTTTTTGCTTCTTTTTTCGCTTTTCTTCAGAAAAGAAAAAATTTGAACAAATCATAAATGTATAATGTGTGTTATAATTATTCCCATATACAAACTTACAAACACAGAGAATCTAAAGAATCTACAGAAAACAACAATAGGATTCTATTTTGAACAAGAAACATTTTTTTTTTGTTCAAAAAAAAATCGGAATTCTTGATTCTTGATTCTTTCAGTGTCTGTGTCGATGATGGTTTTTAATGTTTGTTGGAATGATGCCATAAACATTTCTGGGTTGTCTTTTTTCAAAGACATTCCAGTTTTTTTTCCTGTTCGAAGGTTAAAAATTATTAATGCCGAAAAATCTTCTTCTATAAAAAATTCAATGTTTTTCGAATGATGATTTACAATTGGTGATGATGATAATCGTCAACTACTACCACCACCATTATCCATAATATCATCAATGAATGAATGAATGGAAGAGGAAGAGCGCACAAAAGTAGGACAGATTAAGTCGAAATGGGGGAGAGAAAAATCGTTAGTTTTGATGATGATCACAAGACGAGAAATTCTTCCTTGAAGAATTCTTTTGTTTTTTTCGATGATACTGTTGAACAAAAAGAATATTTTGCTTAGATCAAAAGAATTTTTCTTCTTCTTTATAATCTATTCTTGGATAAATTATTTCGAAATTCTGAAGAAGAAGAAAAACATTCCGAGATTTAGATGAAGATTAAACTATTGAGCAATCAAGGGTTAAGAAAAATTCAAAAATTCTATGATTTGTAATTTGTAAAAATTTTGTAAATTTTCAAAATTTTTCTTTCGCAAAATTTCATCCATATTGAAATCATTTAATAGAATGATGATTGGTAATGAAAAAAAAAGACAAACAATGATGATGATATTCAAAAAAATGATTGCTCGACATTTCGAAATCTGTTCGCCATCATCATCATCATCAAGATGTGATGAAACTTTTTTTTTTCAAGTTTGAAATTCACATTCATTACCTACAGCACATCAGTGATGAAGACTTTATTTTGTTGGCAACAATTCAATGACATTTGAAACAAAAAAAAAGAATTTCATCATAATCATCTTGATAATCTGAAGAATTAATCAAAGAATTTTTTCGCATCAAAAATCAAATTTTTTTAATACCAATTTCCATTTGGAACAAGGATTTTTTTCAATTAGTTATTTTTTTCTTTTATTATTCGGTGTGATTTTTTTGTTTGTTTCTTTTTTATCTGAATGTTTTTTTTATTATTAATCAATTTCACAATGAGAGAAAATTTTAGAAAGAAAAAAAAACATAAATCAAAAATCAAACTGATGAATTATAATGGGTAAATTAGAAAAACACGAAGCAAATATGAAAATGTGAAAAATTTGTTTGGTTGATTGAAGAAGAAAACAAAATGTTCAGAATGTTTTGTGGTGTGTTTGATGTTTGTTTTTTACGGATAAAAATATGTAAAAGCTAATAATAAATTAATTTACAAATTTTTGTTGTTGTTGTTTTGTTTTGTTTTGTAATTCATTTTTAAACTGAAAATTCGGAAAAAAAATATATCGGCTAATATCTTTTCATTCCTAACCACCACCACACACACACACACACGGATGCTACGCCATTATTATTTCTTTTAAAAATAAGATTGATTTTGGTTTTGTTGTTGTTGTTGAAATGATTGAAGAGAAAGAAAAAAAAAGAAAAGAAAACGATGATAATTCCTGGTTGGTTGGTATGTTTTTGTTTTTTCAAATTATAATTGATCCTACAAATCTTCATCATCATCATCTGGTAGAGCAGTATTCTGTGCTTTGAGCATATCATCTTCCAATTTACGTTGCCATTCTTCATCCATTCGTACTTCAGGTGGTGCTAATGCAGGCATAGCAACAAATTCTAGATTTGGATCACCAACTAATTTTCTTGCTAACCATAAAAATGGTTTTTCAAAATTATAATTTGATTTGGCTGAAATGTCATAGTACTAAATAATAATAATAAAAAAGTGTATAAAAAGACAATATTTAGGTTAATCATCAATGAATTATTTACTTTACTTTAGTTATTATTGACTTACCTGCAAATTTTTTTTACGATGAAATACTATAGATTTTGCCTTTACTTTACGATCTTTTATATCCACTTTGTTACCACATAAAACGATTGGAATATTTTCACAAACACGTACAAGATCACGATGCCAATTTGGAACATTTTTATATGTAACACGTGATGCAACATCAAACATAATTATAGCGCATTCACCTGCCAAACAAAAGAAAAAAGAAATAATGTAAGAATTATTACAATCACGAAACAAAAAAGAATCAATTTCATAAAACAAACAAACAAATAGAAACGTAATATGAATGACGTAATAATTCTTCTAGAATAATCTGGCATAATTCTGGACGATTGATTATAAACAACCAATGACATTATCATCTTAAAGATGATGATGTCATCAATCGAAATCATATCGTAATTCATTTATGCTGAGAAAGATTTTTTGTTTGTTTTGTTTTGAGTTTAATTAAATTCATTTTTCCCCACACCACACCAATCAAACTAACCTTTAATGTAATAACCATCACGTAGACCACCGAATTTTTCCTGTCCAGCTGTATCCCAAACATTAAACTTAATTGGACCACGATTAGTATGAAATACTAATGGATGTACTTCAACACCAAGTGTAGCAACATATTTTTTTTCAAATTCACCAGTCAAATGTCGTTTGACAAATGTTGTTTTTCCGGTACCACCATCACCAACAAGTAAACACTAAAATTTAAGAATTTCAGAAGAAAAAGAAAGTTTAAAATTCAAATTTTTTGCCCGTTATTCCATTGTTGATAACAAACCTTAAATGATGGCACATCCTGTTCTTGTGGTTGGCCTTGCATCTTAATCCGGATGATTCTTGTTTATCAATTTAAAAAAATAAATAAAATTCAAAATCTGTATGGAAAAAGATAAAAAACTGTTAATACTTGATCAGTTTGTTAAAAGATAAACTAAATGATCATAATCTTGAAACAATGATTTCAAGTCTATCTATCTTTTCTATTGGACATTTTCAAAAATCGAATCAAACAAGTTTTAAAATCGATTCAATCAATTCAAATGATTCATGTCCAAATCAAATCATTTCAAACAAAAAACTAACCTGAGAATCCTAATGATTAATTCGTTGAAATCAGCAAACAATGCGGATCAAATTGAACCAAAAAACCAAAGAAAGAAAACTTTACAAATTTTTTTCGATTCCAGATAAAAAAAAATGATGAAATTTGATGCAAAAAAAATGAAAAAAATTCAACAAAATTAAAAAAAAAAAATTTATTAGCCGGTTGAAATCGAATGTCTAATAATCCGTACACACTTTGGCCAAAAAGAGAGAGAGAGAGAGAAAAAAAATCCAACACCATTTCGACACAACAAACATTGATTGTCCGTGAAGTAAAAAAAAAAAAAAAAATCTTTCCTTATCACTATGCTACTACTTCTTCAAAGTGAGCGATGAATGTGATTTTTTTTGCCACCATTTCATTTATAACCAATACACGCTGCTACTATGGCGGCGGAACATTGTGTTTGTTATAAATGGTATTAAAAAAAAAACCATGCTGCCATTTTGACTGCCATCTATACCTGATTGAATTGATTTTCATTTTAATTTCCGGGAACTTTATCATTTTTTCGTTGGATTCTTATTTCTCTGAAACTTTTTTTTTGAGGAAAAAATTTGATTTTTTTTGTTTTGTTAAAATTCAATTCATTTTAATGAAAAAAAAAATAGAAAATCTTTTTTGATTTGTTTGATCGAATGAATGGATTGATAAATAAAAAAATTAACAAAGGGTAAAAATAACGAATGTGACTAGTTTGTTTGAAAAACTTTTTTGTTTTTCGTTTACAGATTTAGGAATGATTTTGATGAAAAATTTTTTTCTGTTTTGGTTTTCCACTTTTGCCCCCATTGAATTCAACGAAAACTAAATGGACAAAGAATATCATCATCATAATTGGAACCGATTGGAATGTCGGCTTGCCGTATCAGATTAAAATCATATTGTCCTTCTTTGGATAATTTTCCTTCCGGTCCATGTAAAGCATGTTTCTATTAATTGAAAAAAGGGGTTTAGAAAACAAAACAAAATAGAAAATTATGGAAAACAAACCCGAATAAATGAAATAATTTCATTTGTTTGAACAAAATTCATTTGTAAACGACAACCCCATGCAATTAATGCTAATGGTCGTTTATAATTTAATCTTGTGGAATCTGGTGTTATAATATGTTTACGAATACAATTTTTAACTAATTTTCGAAGTTTATCGACCATTATTGGATGTGTACATGGATGATATAACATTATGATTGCACCATGCTATTATCAACGAACGGAATTCATTAATTTTAATCACAGAAAATTCATTAATTAATTACCTCAACATTATGTAACCATCGTTGTGGTGGAACAAATTGATATTCACCAAATTTTGGCCATAATGGACGATGATCACCATATGTTGGTATAGTTTGATTATAATCAATCGAATCTTTGATACAAAAATGTTGTGGCTAATTTCGGAAAATCAGAAAAATCAAATTAAAAAAATCAACAGGTTTTTTCTTTGAAACTTTACCATATAATTTGATGATAATTTTTCACATTCAACGATTGATTTAATATTTAAATCAATCGGAAATGGTTGTCGATGATAACATGTATGATTGATTGGTGAACCATTCCAATCGATATCTAAATTTGACTGATTATAAAATTAATTTGATTTGAATTAGTAAAGGGTTAAATTTGGGTTAAAAACATCACTAACCTTTGCATCATCACATTCCGGTGATATTTCTCCCATACGAATACCATGTTTACTATCAATCAGATTGGGATTTTTTTCAGCAAATATTTTTGTATTCAATTTTAATCCATAAATTGTAACTGAATTGATAAAAACAATAACCGAAAGAAATATCAAATTATTTTTAGTTGAAATTTTCATTTTGTTTTTCAATAAATTTCAAAACACACACACAGCGAGACAAAGTGAAAGTGAAAATTTCAAAATGAAAAACTACTTGATGCGAAGGACAACCACTAAATCATCAAACACTTATTCTACTATATAAATTGATTTTTTTGTTTTCATTGATTTGAACGAAATGAAAAGAAAAGAAAGAGAAGAAAAACGAACGAAGAAAAGGAGATTTTCTTTTTAAAATCTATTTTTCTCAACTTGGTTTGATGGTCAGGTGTGTGTGTGTGTGTGTCAGTTAGTGGTTGGAAGCTTTGTTTTCAATCAGTTATCAGATTCGGCCCACATTTTCAATGACGATGATGGATGTTGTTGTTTGGATCGATCCATTCACACACACACACACAAGTGTGAAAATGGATTGCGCATTTTATTTGGAAAAACAAAATTTTTTTTCCGATTCCAAAAATAAATTCTCTGCAATGCAGAATTATTTTAAACAGAATTGTCCACCTACTCACCATTTTTCTTTCGGTTCAATTTTAGATTCGATTCGATGATTTATCGATCATCACCAAATCAAATCAAAATGATAAATCAATCGAAATGACATCACGATTTTTGATTCCGATCAAAAATGATTAATTGATTGAACGAAACAAACATCAAAAAAAGAAAATTGTCGTCTGCAGTCTGACATTGAAAGGAAACGAGAAAAAAAAACAATCATCATTTAAATAAAAATCACCAAATATCATCATCATCAAGTCATATGTTTTTTCTTACTTTTACTTTTTTCGCATTTTTCATTTTTCCTCGGATGTAATAAGTATGCAATGTTAATATCACAACACACAAAATCACATGTTCACACACAAGCCTTTTGTTGTTGTTGTTGTTGTGTTCGAATGTCTATTTCGAATGTTTGTCTATATTGTTTTTCCACACTGAATTTTTTCGATTTGCGCATTTCCAACAAGAAAAACCCTTGTTTGTTTGTTGTGTTTGTTATTGCCTGATCATGTTCGAATTCGATGATGATGATGATGATGATTATGAATATTCCTTATTACTCTTTTCTGTTGTTGTTTTTGTTGTTGTTGTTGGTGGTGTTTTTTTCAAAAAGAAAAATCCAATTTTTAAATGATTCTAGTCGACTAGTAGTCTAAATCTAATCCTAATCCGAATCTAATTAATTTGGTTAAATTAATTAAGTGATTTTTTTTTGGTTTCGAAGAAAAGCTTTGTTTGATTGATTGATCGAATGTGATTTTATCAATTTCGGTAATTAAATCGATGATTATTCAATCATCGATATCGAATTATAGCATGATATTTTTGTTTTAGTGAGAAAATGATTGATTTCTGTTGTTGTTAATGTTGTTGTTGTTTTTTTTGAATATTTGTTTGTTTCCTTGCTATTTGTCCTTACCAACAAACAAATGACACCAATCAACGACATACACACACACAAACAAACACAAATAAACTTATCAAACCAAAAACACATTTGATTTGAAAAACAAAAGCTCAAAAGTAAAGAAGCATTAGTCAACCCTTTAGTCTCTCTCTCACTTTCTCGAATTCTTTCCGTCTCGAATTTTTGTAAATTTCATTTTTTTTCATCAATTTTTTCTTCAAAATCAAAAAAAACAAATGTTATGATGATTTCATCAACAATCATCATTAATAAATTATTACGAATACAAAATAATTTTCATTCGAAAAATCATCATTTATTATTCTATCATCGATCGGGTTTTAATGTTGGAAAATTGTCATCATCATTATCATCATCATTTTGTATTCAAAATCATCAACAACAACGATCATTATCATCCACATCAACAACATCGACATCGACAACAATTGAATCATCATCGTCGAAAAGAAATTGCGATAAATTAGATTTAACATTTTCAAATACTGAACAAGCATATAGAAGTAAAACAACATTCGAATTAATACGTGCTATTGCTGTTTTATATGTTAGTTCATTCGATACATTAGTTTATAATCATGATAAGGTGAGTGTAGTTTTGGTATTTTTGGGTTTTGATTTGATTTTTAATTTTTACCCCCCCCCCAAAAAACAGTTATTAAAATGGTCAAAACGTTTAATGGGTGAACGTTTATTCAATTTATTAATGCGTTCAACATTTTATGGTCAATTTGTTGCCGGTATTGATGAATTTGATATTAAACCAGTTTTAAATCATTTAAGATCATTTGGTGTTAAATCTATTTTGGATTATTCTGCTGAAGAAGATATTGAAAAAAAATTTGATACAATTTCAAATAAACAAAAAGGAAAAGATAAAATTGTTAAACAATATGAATATGATGATGTTGTACATGGCCGTCGAGAATTACGTCCAGTTGCTCGAACATATTTCTATATGAATGAAGCACAATGTGAAAAAAATATGGATATATTTCTTCGTTGTATTGATTGTGTTGCTGGTGCAACATATGGTACCGGATTTGCTGCAATTAAATTAACAGCTCTTGGTCGACCAGAATTATTGTTACAATTATCTGAAGTTATTGCACGAACACGGAAATATTTCAAACAAATTACCGGCCTTAATTCTATTGGTCTTGGTAATATAACACCAGAAGAATTTCAAAAACAATTGGATAAACGTTTTAATTTAAATGTTGATAATCCGGAAATTGCTGCCTTTTTAAAACAAATGGATTATGATCAACGTGGTTTAATGAATCTGTTTGCATGGAATGGCCTGATTGATATGGATACATTAATTAATGATTTATTTAAAGTACCAAATCTTCGTACTGGTCGTATGGAAATGATTATAAATGCATTGAACCAGGAAGAAGAAGAAATGTTTCGTAATATGATGCGTCGTATGCATACAATTGCACGTGCTGCAACCGAACGTGATGTACGTGTTTTGATTGATGCTGAACAAACATATTTTCAACCAGCAATCAATCGTATTACGTTAGAATTAATGCGTAAATATAATAAAGAAAAAGCAATCATATTTAATACTTATCAATGTTATCTTAAGGTAAATTATTCAAAAACAAACCAAAATTGATTGATTTGATTTTGATTTTGATTTTGATTTTGATTTTTTTTGTTTTGTTAAATTAATATAGAATGCTTATGAAACATGTGAATTGGATGCCGAATTATCCCGTCGACAAGGATTTTATTTTGGTGCCAAATTAGTACGTGGTGCTTATTTGGAACAGGAAAGATTACGTGCAAAACAATTAGGCTATAATGATCCAATTAATCCAACATTTGAATCAACAACGGCGATGTATGAAAAAAATTTAAATTTTTTCATGAATAAAATTGTTGATACTGGTATTGATCAGAAAAAATTTGCCATTATGGTTGCATCACATAATGAAGATACTGTACGATATACATTGAAAAAGTAAGTTCGTTTGTTAAAAAAATTGATTTTTTCACCCCTTTTTTCCAAATTCAGAATGCAAGAACTTGACATAAAACCTGAACATAAATTAATCTGTTTTGGTCAATTATATGGAATGAGTGATCATTTAAGTTTTATACTTGGTATGTTTCTTTCTTCTTCTTTCGTTTTTTGCTCAAATTAATCAATTGTTTAATTCAAGGTCAATCTGGTTATTCAGTTTATAAATATGTACCATATGGACCAATCGATAAAGTAATGCCATATTTATCAAGACGTGCATTAGAAAATCATGGATTATTAAAAAAATCAAAATATGAACGAAAATTATTAATGAAAGAATTATTACGTCGTATTTGGAATGGAAAAATTTTTCATAAACCAATTGGAAATTATCAACCTATCTAAAAAAAAACAAATTTTTTTTTTCGGCGACAATTTCATTTTTGTTATCGCTTTTCTTTGCTTTTGCTATCTTATCTAAGCTTTTTTTGCTTATACTATCTATCTATCTTTATTTGATTTGAATAATAATTCTTCCGGAAATTTTTTCCCATCTTTCTTCTTTCGAAACGGGTATTTTCTTTGATTCATTCATCATGATTTTTCTTGGGAAATATTCCCGAAAATTTCAAAAAAAAACTTTTACTTTTTTGTTCGAAGAAACAAAAAATTGGTTAAATTTTTTTGAAAAAAATAAAATAAAGTTTCAATTTGAAAAAAGTTATTCTTTTCTGAACAAAAAAGTTTGAAAAAAAACGAAAAAAGAAATTTTAAACTTTCTTTGAAAACTTTTTTTCTTTTTCTAACCCTTCATCGTCGTCTTTCAAAGCAACCACGAAAAACAAGAAAAAAAAGAGTTTAAATTCAACCGAGAAAAACATTTAAAATCGGTTTAATTTTGTTGTTGTTTGTAGTTTTCCTTGATTGTTTAACAACCGACGACGACGACGACGATGAGGATGACCTTGTCTTGATGAAAATCCTGATAAATTAATGTCTTTGAAAAACAACGAGCAAGCAAGCCAAACAAATTAATGGTACAATACCGATTTTTCCAAGGAAAAAAAAGTGAAGATCATTATCATCTGGATCATCATCGAAAAAGGATGAAAATATTTGCTTGAAAATCGGATTTATTTATCAGTCATTATTCATTTTCTTGATCTTCTCGATCTTCCTTCCCTTGTCATCATCATTATTTATTTGTTAAAAACAAAATCGAATGTTGACAATGACGACTATTTCAGCACTGATCTCAAGAGATTCGAAATTCGGAAACACAGAACCAACAATGATGAAATAGTTTCGAATAAACTTGAAATGAGACAAAAAACAAAAAACTTTGAAACAAAATGAAAATTTTTTTTTTCTTCAAATTTTGATTCAATTTTAAATTTATCCCAGCCGTAGAAAAAAGACAACGAAAACATGACGATCCTACACAAACAAATTCCATATTAATTGCTTTTTCTTTTCACCCACCTTTTAACCCTTCCATCACCACCACCACCGCCACTCGAAAGCATAAATTTTTATTTATTTTCGGTAAAATCAAGTCGTTTTGAATGATAATCCTTTAATGAAGAGTTTTGAATCTAGAAAAAATCATCACCGGAGTCATTAAATCATTTTGTTTTCCATAAAAAAAAATAAAATCAAATAAAACTTATCATCGGTGTTTCAAAATGGCCATTATGTTTTTTTTTGTTCAATGACAAGAATGGCTACAGTTTATTTATTTTCGGTTTGGGTCAGAAATCCGCCACCACCACCACCCCCACACGCTCAAAGATGTTGAATTTTTTTCGTTAAATGCAAAAAAAAACCCTTTTTTAAAATAAATTTCATTCGAAAACAAGAACAAAACAAAAAAAAATCATAAATAATCAAAGGTAATTTAAATGATGTCAGGTTAAAAGATAATCATCGCCAAAGGGTTAATTTTTCTCCCGAAAAAAAATCAAGACTTTTTAGTAAAAAATTTATGATCTACAAGGTTGATCAAGGCTGAAAGAATCAAGTATTTTTGAGGAAATTTCATTTGAAAAAAAAGACAAACCAAACTTGATTGAAAAATGCCGCCATCATTTGCAAATGATGACAATTTTCGTTCGTTTCGTTTCTTTTCGTTGAAAATTTATTGCCACGATTTTTGTTTTTCAAGAAAAAACAATGAAATGAAACACACCAGGATGATGAGCAAGATGGCCCAGGCAATTTCAATTCTCTTTTCCCCACCGGTTGTTACATTGTAAATAATGATTTCCCTCGGAAGTTTCTCTTTGTGTTTCACTTTCAGTTTTTATGGGAAAATTTCCGGAAAAAAAATTCAACAATGAAAAATTTTCAAGTTTTCGGTTTTTAGTTTTATTGTCGAATTTAAAATGAAAAGAAAAGAAAAAAATTCAATGATGACATGTGACATCCACGATGATGATGATGATTGGAAGAGAAAAAAAATCAGACCAGAAACAAAAACAAAATGAAATTAAAAAACAATGAAAAAAAATTACATAAAAAATATTCTATTGTTGAAAATGAAAGAATTACATTTTGCAAAATTAAAAAAACAAACAAAAACAAACTCGAATCATCATCACCGGCATTCAAACATCATCATCATTAGTGTTTTGAAATTATTGAAAAAAATTAAAAATTCTGTTTGGTTTTTTGTTTTGTTTTGGTTGTTTTAAATCAGATTTGATTATTTTTTAAAATCGGATTTTGAAAATGAAAATGGCAAAATACTTATTATGTCTTTTTTTTCATAAGTGTGTGGCTTTGTGTGTGATAAGTGTTATGGGTGACAATACAAATTCTTTTTTTTGAGGGGAAAAAAACAAACAAACAAACAACAATTTGATACAAACATCTTTTCGATACATTTTTTTTTGTTTTGCTAAACATTAACAAACAACATTGATTGATTGCACATTGATTTTTTTTTGTTGAGCATTTTTTGTTACAATTTTTGACCACACATTATCATCATGTTTTTCATTGGGTTTTTTTGTATTTCTTGATTAATTAATTAGTTAATTAATTGGTATTTACCTAGAAAAAAGTATTCAAAAAAAAATCTGGACGTTTTTTCATTTCTGTTTCAGTGTTTTGTTTTTGTTTTTTTTTTTTTTTTGAATGTTTGTGTTGTATACCTGTTGTATTCGGTGAAATAGAGAATTTTAGGAACAATTTCCAAGAGAAAATATTATTATTATGAATAAAAGATTAATGCATGAATTTTTGTTTTGGGTTTTTTCAAATATGAAAATGTATCAGTTTTTTTTGTGTATCATTTTTTTTTGGTGTATCAGTTTTTCTGTTCAACACACACACAAGCAAAAAAAATTTTTTGACCATAACCTAAGTGAAAAATGTAGCCAACAAAAAAAAATGTAGCAAAAAATGAATTATTTTTTTTTTTTGGTATTTTTTTGAAGTTTAAAATTTTGAAATTTTGAAATATTTGAAAAGATTAAAATGCACACAATTTGAAAAAAGAAAAGAAAAGAAAAGAAAATCTATTTTATAGGCGCTTAGTGTGCCTTGTTTGTTTTTAAAATGAAATTTTGAAATTTTTAAAAAATTTGAAAAAAATTAGGCGATTTTTTGTTTTTTGGTTTTCTTTGAAAGAAATTTTAGAAATTTTGAATTCCACTTTGAATTTTGAATTTGCCAAAGAAAAAAGAAAAGAGAAAAATTCTCTGTTATGAATGTGATGTGATGTGAGCAAACGAGATCAATGTTTGTTTGTTTTGTTGAAATTTTTTTAAAATTAGTGGCCAATATTGATGATAATGATGATTTGATGAACTTTTAAAGTTGAAATGATAATCTAACTAATTCATCAATAAGGTTTTTCTGAGATCGTTGTTGTTGTTGTTGTCGATGAATTTTGAATTCAAATGATAATGATGATGATGATTGGATGGATGGATGTAATGTTGCAATTTTTTTATAAAGAATTTTTCTTTTGCTACTTTTTTTGAATGAAATGAAATGACGAGATTCGATGAGTGATGATGAATTGATTAATTCGGTTTTTTATGAATTTTTTGGAAAAATTCTGTGTGTGTTTTGACACATCTTTTTTTTCGGTGTGTTCGGGGTTTGATGAATGAATGAATGATTGATTGATTGAATGAGGCAGTGTAACTTTCGAGCTAATTTTGTTGTTGTTGTTGTTGGTGATATTTTTTTAAAACTGCTACTTTAAATCGATTATCTCTCTGTCCAGGTTTTTCATTGTTTCAGATTGGATTAATGAAACAAACTAGACATAAAATGTAACTGATGATGGTGATGATAATCTTTGTTAAAGCTCGAATTTAACAATGTTGTTGTTGTCGTTGTTGACGATGATGATGATGATGATTTGGATAATAATACGGCTGCCATTTGTTGTTGTTGTTGATATAGAATATTATTATTACTAACAAAAGAAACGGGATATAAAGATGGACTGTTGTTGTTGTTCAGCAATTGTTGATCCTGTCGAGATACCTGTTGTAGATTTCGAACTGAATAAAATTTGGAAAAAAAATGTTCCCGGAAAAAAGTATTTTTTTAAAAAAAAGATGCATACCGTTCTGTTGTCGTTGAGAATTATTTCGACTATTTCCACCGTTTATTGTCGTTGATGTTGATTTAATTATCGTTTGACCACCAATTGTATTAGCTGTGGTTGTTGTTGTTGTTGATGATGAAGAAGAAGTTGTTGTTGTTGTTGTTTGTTGATTTGTTCCTATAATTTTTGTTTTTTGTTTCATTTTTTTTTGTGAAAAGAATGTAGTTTTTGATATTTTTATTAGTTAATTAATTTGTTACATTTAATCATTTACGTTCAATATTTGTTACATTTCCGGCTGCTGCAATTGCATATGCAGCAGCAGCAGCTGCTGCTGCCGTTGTTGTTGTTGATGATGATGATGATGATGATAATGTTAAGGCTGCTGCTGCTGCTGCAGCTGTTGCTGCTGGTACCTGTAATAATCTTGATGTTGTTTGACGACGTTGTTGTCCATTCTGGTTATAACGTTTTGGTAATGTACCGGCATGTCTTTGCATATGTGTTTTAAGATTTCCTAAAATCAAACGAAAAATTGAATGATTTTTTTAAACATGTTCAATTTGTTCCAGGACCACCATCATCATCCATTATCATCACATACCTTTTTGTGAAAATGTTTTACCACATAAACCACATGGAAAACGATCATCTTTATTATGTGTACGAATATGTGTACGCATATTACCACGTTGTGCAAAACTTTTACCACAAACCGAACAAGCAAATGGTTTTTCTTTTGTATGTACTGAACGCATATGTGTTTTAAGATTACCACGTTGTGTAAAACTTCTACCGCAACGTTCACAAGCATATTCTTTATGACCAGTATGTATTCGTATGTGCGTATCAACATTACCTTTTTGTGTAAAACTTTTTCCACAAACCTTTATTGTCAAAAAAAAAATCAAAAATCAAAGGTCAAGAATCAAGAATCAAGAATCAAGAATCAAAAGTATAAACATACATGGCATACATATGGTTTATCACCAGTATGTATCATCATATGTGTTTTAAGATTTCCTTTTTGTGTAAAAAATCTATTACACATTGGACAAAGAAATTGTTTTGTCGGCTGTTGTTGTTGTGATTTATTTGTTACACGATGATTATGATTATGATTCGATGATTGATTTGATAAACGACGATTTTGTTGTTGTTGTTGTTGCTGACCATTCAAACTACCGGTTGTTGTTGCTGCGGCTGTTAATAAATGACCATTAAAACTAAAACTTGGTACGGTCATGGAATGTAATGTTGGTGTTGGTGTTGTTGTTGTATTTTGTTGATGATTTTGATGATTATGATTAAGATGATTTTGATGCGGATTATGATTATGATTATGATGTGCAGCGGATGAATGATGTAAATGATGTGATGGATGATGATTATGATGATTACCTCCTGTTGTTGTCATTTGAAATGCATGATTTACACCTGTAGCTGTTATACCTGCAGCCTGTAAACTTTGTCCAATATGATTTGCTAATTGATTTCCAGTCAAACCAACTGTAACTGTTCCACTTAATCCGGTAGCCGTACCAAAAATGGAACCATGTTTTTCATGTTGTTGTTGTGCTGCTGCTTGTAATAATGTTTCCGTATTAATTGTATTCATTATGTTGATTTTATTTAATTGTTGTTGTTGTTGATTATCGTTGTTGTTGTTGTTGATTAATGATGAATAATAATGATGATTATGATGATGATTATTGATTAACGAATTCTGTTGCGATTGTTGAATATTCTCTATCGATGATGATGTTGATGATGTTGATGTTGATGGTGGTGATGTTGATGATAAATTATCGCTTGTAATTCGGCTACCGATAATAATTTGACCACTACAAATGGTCATTTTTACCGATGAATGAATCCAAATCAATTTGTTTGATGTTTGATTAAATAATTATTATCGGATTTTGGCTTGAAAAAATTTTGATTTCGATGAGATCGATACACGTGTGAGTTGATTGATTGATTATGCAAATGAGAAAAAAAAACCAATACTTGTTTGATTGATTTTGATGGAAGAAAGTATTTTAAAGTGTTATTGAAATATGTTATGAAATGACGGTGGTTTTTGAATCAATTGATCGATCGATTGATTGGCAGGATTTTTTTTGTTTGTTTTTTTCTTTGAATTGTCCCAATTAAATTGAGCTCAAAATGTGTTTGCTTGTTTGTTTTGTTTTTCGTGTTTTGTTTAAAGAAATTTGTTAAAAGAAAAAGAAAAATTGCCTAAGTTTTTTTTCAATTAAAAAATATCCTAAAATAATTTAAAAAAAATGAAACAAGATGAAAACCCTAAAAAAATTGATAAAAAATCAAAATAATCGACTTTGTCGATGAAAGTGTTAAAAAAATTTAATTGTTTTAAAAATGAATTTGATTCAATCTGTTTTTCAAGAGAATTTTCTTTGAAAATTCTTGATGCGTCTTTTTTTTTAAATTTCGTTGCGTTCAGCGAAATCGGCTTCTAAAGCAAAAAAAAAATAAGGCTCAAATTGAGCGACTGATAAATAAAAAGTTTTTTTGTTTAAAATCCAATTGATTAATGATTGGCCTGTGTTTTAGAGTCACCGTGTTATTTCACCCGAATTTTTTTTTTATTGGATGAAATGTGACTATGGGACTAAAGTTACTTTTCAAGAAAAAAAAACTTTCATTTGGTTTTTTGTTTGTTTTTGGTTCATTATCATCTGATGAAATGAAAACATTTTTGCTACATTTTTATTTTAGTGTCCAAATTTTCATTTTCAATTTTTTTCCATTTGGAACTTTATCACACTTTGATGATGGCTCTAGCTGCTTGCTAAATGGTTAATTTTTTTTTTGTTTAAAAAATGTATTGCTTTTTTGACATTTTTGTTTGTTTCGATATTTTTCAGCCATTTTTTGTTTTTTACTAAATGTTGTTGTTGTTGTTTTGGTTTTGCGATGTCGTTCGATGATAATAATAACGACGTTGTTGTTGTTATTCATTCAATCGAAGAAAATAAAGATAATGATGATGGTCATCATCATCATAAAGTCTGGCGGGCAAAATCATTCATTCAAGACAGAAGACCACGAAGACGATGAAGAAGAAGAAGATGAAGAAGAAATTCAGCAAAGTTAAGTCACAGAAATGGATTTTTGATCAACAAATTTGATAACCTAGCCAGTCAGCCACAAAAACGACGACAATTTTGTTATCATTTTTTTTTTATTTTCTGATTTTTGCCAAAATCAGGTTGCAGCATCTTCAAAACAAACTTTCACAGACACCAACACACACACACACAGAGAGAGAAACAAACTGGGTAGATATAGTGAAAAAGATGAAAATAAATGATCAAATCTAAATATGGTGAAGAAGAAAAAAATATTCGTTCGTTGATGGTTGATGTTATTGGAAGTCAAAGAGTTAAACGACGACAACAACAACAAATCTAATTCGAATATTTAAAACAAACTTTATGCTGATGTCGTTGATGATGATGATTTTTAATCATCATCATCATCATCAATTCTAAAATGATTGGCCGGTTATTAAGATGAACTGGTTTTTCTTTTGGTCTTTACTTCATTTTTTATTGGAAGAATACAGGTAAGATTTCGATGCCGATGATGATGATCGAAGGATGATAGTAGTGTAGCATATTACACACTGCACAGCACAAATTAATAATTTTTTTTTCTTTTTTTTGGTTGAAAAATCAATTTTCAAAAAGTCAAAAAAATAAAAATTGAGAAATTTTTGGTCGATTTTTGATGTTTGATGATTGGATTTTTTTTTATTAATATTCTCGGTTGATTTTCAGTTGCAGTGTGCTTGATGATTTTTGATGAATCTAAATTTGGAGAAAGAGAAAAAAAGATTTGATTAATAAGAATGATAAGGATTTTGTTCGGTTTTTTGATTGAGGGAAAAAAGGGTTAAAGAATTAAACGAAAAAATCGTTTGGGAAACGAAATGTTTTTTTTCTGGTTAATTTAAATAAGATCCGTGTTTGTGTGCGCCCAAGAGAGAGAGAGAGAGAGAGAGAGAGAGAGAGAGAGAGAGAGTGA